TGTGTGCAGGGACAGAACAGTACGGAGTGTTAACACCAGGTGTGTGTTCTGGGACGAGCTCATTAGGACATGGACGTACGTAAGGTGCGTTTCTCTCCTCGGCTCCAGTAGAGCGGTCGTGTTTGTAGCTGCTTCACGTCATCTCGTACGGATACAGAAGCCTCTGACGCTTCCTGCAGCATCTCCAGCTCCTGAGGGATCAAACTTCATTAAAACTATAATATTAGTTAAGATATTTACTAAAATCAGTCATGAAGACCTTTCTGTGTCAGCATTTACAGAAGGTTTGACAGAAGCTGCATTTCTGTTCTTTCATCTTCACTTTTAACAACTTTCAACTCCCTGAGAGTGAGATGTGCTGTAACAAAATAAAATACTTATTTTAGTCTTTTAAAAAATAACTCACTTAAATCTTTCCCCAAAGTATCAGACTCATTTAACAAAACATTGGAACCAATTTCTAGATGATCCAACAGCTGTTCTGTATTAAAATAAAGTCCTGACAGCATCTCTGGTCCTGGTCCAAGTTTGAAAACAAAACCACCGTCAGACAAGTGCAGATCACATGGTTTCATGAAAACAAAGTTTCCGGAGATTTCCAGAGTAAATCCTGGATTTCCAGGAGACATTTCAGCGTGTTATGTGGTGGCAGAGTCCCATTCAGAGATGACAGGAAGCAGACTGCAGCCTAAGATACATGTGTACAGCAATCACTCCTAATAATTAAATATACTGTACAGTAAATGGACTGTACTTATAAAGTACTTTTTAATCTAATCAAGATACTCAAAGCTCTTTACAACAATCTGTGCCCTCTACCTCCACACAAACATTCATACAGCAGTCTACATCTCTATTGATAAATCAGAGCTTTAGATCACGTTCAGACACCGATGGGACACATCAGAGGCAGTGAGGGTTCAGTGTCTTGCCCAGGGACTCTTCAGCATGTGACTGCAGGTGGAACTGAACCCTCAACTCTCCCATTGGAGGACGACTGCTCTAACCGCTCAGCCACAGGTGCCTCGAGATTCTTGCCTATAGATTCCCACATTTATTTACTGTATTTTTTAAGAGTCTCGGGATGTGGCAGCTTAGTGGTCATTGCTGCGGCAGGATCAAGACCTGTTTCATCAGGAAGAGCAAATGGCATCAAACAATCGTCCAATCTTTCATGTTTTCACTCGCTGGAGAAAGGATCAGCCGAAGAACAGATTCAATTTTTACACATTTGAATAATAAATGATTCAGTTAGTGTGAGGGACAGTTCAACTGGTGAGTATTACAAATTTTCACGTTAAAGGCAACTCACTGTTTTTTTAAATTTAATGTTTCCAAACACAATAATTGTGTTTAATTACTGAAATTACTGTGCTGATCACATTAATAGTGATTCCGATTTAGTCCATAATTAAGCAACCTTATCTGTTAGTCATACGTCATGTTTTTAAACACTCATAAGAAACTACATACACTGTGCACTGTAGAAGCAGAACATGGACTCAGTGACACTAGAGTACTAGCATGAATATATGTACACATCAAAATACCATACAGATCATGTTTTAATCGGATCAGTGTTGAAATTCCCCGTTTTCACTGATTTTTAACGTCTGTCAAATTCCTTGTAAAACGTAAGTTATTTTCCAGGTTTTCCCTGATTTCCAGAGTTGCTGGGAACCCTGAAGTCCGACATCGACTCAAAATTCCAGTTTTCATAGATTCAGCCTTTGTGGACCCAGTCTGGAAAGCTACTGGAGCAAACTCTTTGATACAGTACAGGATAAACGTTTTAAAATTTGATTCCATACTTTGCACCTGCTGCTATCTGCCCAGTGGTTCACAAGATATTTTGCTAACTGTACAGACAAGCAAACACAAAGAAAACCTTTTTGCTCCACCTTCAGGCAATTAAAAAACAACAACGATTTAAACAAGTTTATCCAAACCTAAATCTATACCATGTCCTTAAAAAGCTCATGTTGACTTTTGCAGTCAGAGACGTGGAAGCTCCTGTAGCTGGAAGTAAAAGCTCCATTTAAAGCTAAAGACGCTGACTACGTTGTGAAATTACTATAGTAGGAACATTTACAGGCAAACGAGGAAAGTCTGGATGAAACACAGTTATATTTGGGATGAAACAGCAACGCTGCGCTCTTTGCCCAGTAGCCCTCACCCCGATAGTCGATAAATGCTTCTGGTCATGACCCACATTAACGACCATCAACCAGGACCCTCACCAGTACGCACACCGTGGGAACCAAATTCATGCTGCTGTATTCATTCACCACAGACTCATGTTCAGGCTGCTGTTGATACGTCGTATTGTTTTACATTATTAGTGTTTAGCGTATATCTTACATCCTTATATACAGCTTCTTTTTACACTTTATATTTTTACTATTTTGGGTGTAACTGGGACCCTGAGAACATAATTCCGTTCCACCTCATGTACCGGATGTGATGCGAATGACAATAAACTTGACTTGAACTTTGTTGGAGTACCGTGTTGCAGGCCAGCAGCTGCTGGTGGACCCTCTGGAAGAGCTCGGTGTCTGAGCTGAAGCTGGGCGGCTCTCTGTTGCAGTACGGTTTCATGTCCGAGTCGTAAACGTGGCTGAAGGTCGTCATCAGCTGCTGGAGGTCACACGCTGCCAAACGCAGCGAACACGGAGAGAAGACGGACGGAGTTTGGCTGTCGTCGTTCAAGAAGTCACACTGAGGAGAAACATCCAAACAGATCTTTAAGCTTTTGTCTCGTAAGTTGTTTAAAACTCCTGACAGTCATTGGACGTACATCAAGATGGCTGCCACAGCTAATCGACATTAACCAGCACTAGAACAGTCACAACTCAGTCAAGTCTACAGGAAATGAAACTAAATGTGATCGAGTCGTTCACGAGCGTTGTGCACACGGTGACACCATATTTGAACAAAATGTTTCCCAACACAAACATCGTGACGTGAGGCCTTTAACTTTAAATGTGGAGCTTCTCAAAGCCAAGTGGACGTTTTGCCCATTTTTCTTCTTTCGGCTGCTCCTTCTTCAGGGATCACCACAACGAACTAAGTCGCACGAAGACTTAGCAATTCTTTTTACGCCGGATGCCCTGCCTGACGCAACCACCGAGCTACCACGGCCCTCTGTGTGGAGCAGAGCTGCATCTAGAGCGCACAGATGGTGGGGTTGACAGTGCCTTGCTAAAGGGACCAGAGAGCGGCAAATGAGTGGAGGCAGATGTGGGTGCTTCACCTTTCTCACCCACATTTTTGATGTTGTCGGTACCGGGAGTTGAACCAGCGATGCTATGCCCAACATTTAAATGTTTAAATCTCTAGATGTTTGTTTGGAAGTGAGACAAAAGGTGTTTTGCTTCAACTGAAGAACTGAGAACAAGGATTTTTTGTTGTTGTTGTGATAAACGCATTAGTTTATGAAACCAGCTTTGTTCTGATCATGTTGGAGCTAAAAGGTACTTAGCTCTCAGATATCAGGAGTTCAGACCCTAGAAACACAGACATGACTTACCTTGGACTGCAGCTCCTTCAGTTCTGTTTGAGTCGACTGAAGCGCAGCAGCAACATCAGCAAACTCTTCTCTTGGTTTATTGGATGATTTAGTGCCTTTACGTAACGCCCTGCAAGACGAGGAACGGCAGCCATTTTAAACATCAATAACTTTTACATTAATGTTGCTCACTGCTTCATTCTCTGAACAATAAAATCCTGAGAGCAGCCGTACGTCCGTCACTGTGACGGAAACAGTGTCAGGTGCTTGTGGAGATGGAAAACTTGCTTTAGCTGTGCAGGCCAGGGGTCGAGTGTGGGTCTGAGCATCTGTGTGAGGTTCTGCAGATTCTCTGCAGCAAAAAGCTCATTTAGAAGAGCCTCTCCATTGGTTCTGTTCCCAGCAGACTTCTTCCATCCAGGGAAGAGAGTCAGGAGCTGCTCCAGGAACTGAAGTTGCCGCAGAGGACTCGCGTTCCCCTGAATGGAACACAAACACAGGATGCTCATTTAATAACACAACCGATGTATTTAGAGAAGAGTAGAACATGTAGAGTAACTTCATTCAATCTCTCACCCTTATCAAATCCAGATCATCAGCTTTACTCAGCATCAGGTCATGGCCAAAAGCAGCCATTTCTGTTTACAGAGAAAATAAAACTACATAAATGCTTATTTGCTCTGAAAAAGAAAGTAAGTCACTTTCTCACCTTTCACTAAAGCATCTGGGTCTTTCGACCTCGCTGACGTGGCTTTAGAATTGCCAAAGTTTGGGTTGATGCTGTAAAGAGAAACCAAAGCACTCGTTTGTGTTTAAATTTAATTCTTTGGATAAATGAAACGACAGTTCAGGGAGACGTACCTGCAGCAGATCCAAGTCAGTATGTCAGTCCGGAGCTCTGAGGGGGAACACAACAAGTCCAACATGCTTTCTTCTTCTTGCAGATACAGATCCTGGACCAAAGGACACGACACAGCCTCGAAAACACAAGTTATTAGACACCATGTTATTTTATTTACCTGTACAACAAAGAAATGAAACTTGCCTGTCAAAACAATAATCTAAATCTAAAAATAAGAGATAAATGGACAAATAAGACAAATTTATAATATTAACGTGAAAAAGTTTTTTTTTTAATGAAATATCATACACATGTCAAAGCACTTGAGATTTTAGTAAATAAAAGTTAATATTTAAAGACATTCACATGAACCATTTGAATTTAGACAAGTACAACTCTGAATGTAACTTTTCGAAATAAAACATAAAATCCTGTCATGCAAAAAACAACAACAACAAACAAACAAGAAAACACCCCACACAGGAATAAATATACAATAAAATCAGTTTAGTGCCAAAAACACAGAGTAGAAACCCTCAAATGGTGAAAGATGGACATTTCTTCAACTCTCAAAACGAATTGGACCGTTTTCTAAAAGAAAAACAAATAATTTGCATTACCTGTTACAGGTACCTTGATTCATTAAATTTAGGCATTAATATAATAAATATATTTAAGTCAATCAATTACATCTCTATAAAAAGAACATTTTTGTTCTAATCATGACGTTTTAAAGAAAAATCTCCAAAATTTTGCACAAACTATTACATCCGTCTAACATCTGCAAAGCTAAAACAATTGAAGAAAGATTGTTTGTAAATATATTTTAAACTATCCTAATGCATGCTCAATAATCCAGGTAGAAAAATCTAAAAAAGTTCAATCTGGTCCTCTGGACATTCAAACAAAAAAACAAAACAAAGCAAATAAATATAGAAACGTTTGCTGCTGACAACCAGAACCAGCTGATCACATGCTCAAGAAGGACCATCAGCCTAACAATGGATCATTAGCACACTGATGGCTGTTTACTCCTCACAGAGGGCTGAGTGATACTAGCAATCACAGCATTGTAAGAGGGGGACAATTGAACCCGGAGGCCTCCACCCCTGTTTAATGATGGACGATTTCTTTTCACAAAGATGGCCTCCTTTACTCCTCTCTCAAACCATCGTTCCTCTCTGTCCAGGATGTGAACATCTTCATCCCTGAAAGAGTGACCGCTGGCCTGGAGATGAGTGTAGACCGCAGAGTCCTGGCCTGATGATGTTGATCTTCTGTGCTGGGCCATCCTTTTGGCCAGTGGCTGTTTAGTTTCCCCGATGTAAGACTGATCACCCTCCTGACACTGAACAACATACACAACATTGCTCTGTTTGTGCCGGGGGACTGGATCTTTGGGATGAACCAGTCTTTAATGTATTTTGGGGTTTAAAAGCCACTGGGACGTTATGTTTGGAAAATAAACGTCTCAGTTTCTCTGATACTCCCTCAACATACGGAATGACCACTGGTCTGGGTTCCTCCTTTTCACCTGTTGGCTGACTGGAGTCCTGTTTGGGTTTCTTCTCTGCTTTCAGGAAGGCCCAGTTAGGATATCCACATTGCTCTAGAGCCTGTCTTGTGTGGGATTTCTCCTTCTGCCTGGCTCCTGAGCTAGTGGGGACGCTGTCTGCTCTGTGGTACAGAGTCCTGATGACTCCTAACTTGTGCTCCAAAGGGTGATGGGAGTCAAACTGCAAATACTGGTCTGTGTGGGTGGGTTTGCGGTACACCTCGGTTTGCAAATGTCCTCTATCAGAGACTGAGACCTCACAGTCCAAGAAAGCCAACCTGCCATTTTTTACATCTTCTCGTGTGAACTTGATGTATTTATCCACAGAGTTGATGTGGTCAGTAAAATGTTGGACTTCCTGAGATTTAATTTTAACCCAGGTGTCGTCAACATACCTGAACCAATGACTTGGTGGTGTCCCTGAAAAGGACGTCAAGGCTCTCTTTTCTACCTCCTCCATGTACAGGTTGGCAACAATAGGAGAAACTGGAGACCCCATAGCACACCCATGTTTCTGCCTATAATATTGCTCCCCATATGTGAAGTAGGTTGACTGCAGGCACAGTTTCAAGAGTTGACACAGTTGTTCTGTGGAAAGTGTGGTCCTGCTGCTCAGAGTGGTGTCTGATTTTAATTTTAAACTGACCACCTCTACTGCATCATCAACAGGAATGCACTGAATACAGCACCTCAGACTGAAGAAGTCTTTCGGATGAGAGACGAAACGTTTCTACATTTTTTGTTTTGAATGTCCAGAGGACCAGATTTAACTTTTTTAGATATTTTAAACTATTTGTTCACAAAACTGACGATCTGAAAACAGAAGATGGTGGACTCCAACAACTAATTAACATCAACGCTAAACTAGTTTAAACATTTTCGACATCACACTTTTTTAAAAACAATTATGACACGAACTGTGTCTGTTCACGGAGTTAAATGGTAATTTTATTAAATTTTAACCGAAATGTATAACACGATGAAGCGCAGAGAGAAGCATGAAAATACAACAACACATATCAGTTAGTACTTAGAAGTACTAACCCAATATTTTGACTCAAATTACCTGAAGCGCATCATAAACTTCGTGCGCGAACTGTTTTTCTGTTAAAAGAGCCGCCATTTTCAAATTCTTCTTCTCTGACTGAATCGTGACGTATACCGGTCTAACTTGTGTGCTTTTTCGCCCCCTAACGGACAGAACCCGCCACTGCAGCGACATCAACAGACACAATGTTTATAGGCGCCCCCTACCGGACAGAGCCCGCCACTGCAGCGCCATCAACAGACACAA